TGATAAATAATTGATATCAACATGAAAGCCACCTCTCCAAATAGCATTCCCATTTCATCTCTGTCAATAACAACAAAATCTCCTTTTTTGTAACTTGCACCCAAGTAAACTACTTCATAAGACACACTGTATTCAACAGTGGCATGTAAGCCAGAAAGAGCATCCTGAATTTTTTCTGTGTAAGTCTCCAAGTAAAATGGTAAAGACCGTCTTGCATCGACAATCGCTGGAAAGTAGGATCCAGTGCACATGTACGCTTGCAGCAGCTGATGTCGTACTGACAGGGTGAGGTATATGTTCTTGAAATTATGTAAATACCTCACACACCTCTTGAAATACGAGTGCTTGCTCTCAAATCTCATTGTCAAGGAGCGAATGAGTGGCCCGAATGCAAGTATTAATTAAATATGGATAATGTCTCAAATAGTGATGCTTGGGTCTCAGTTTCTGTTATGGCGATACTCATCAATAATAACATCAAGGTATGCAACGTCAGATTCAGATATTTTGGGTGAACATGCAATCTCTACAATGTCACGTAACTGCAGAAACAGCTGCCACACATCATTCTTCAAGTAGACTGTTTCATCAACAATGAGAACTGGCAATAATCATACGAGACACCAGTTTTGCACTGCATGATCTCCTAACTTTCCTCCCTTGAGATTCACATCATAGGGTTTGTTTTTTGTTTCATAGCCAAGATATTTGAATTGTGCTATTCTCCGATTCAGTTCGGCAGTAGTGAACCATTGTTGCTTCACAAAATACCCAATGAACAGTGCTACGTCGTAATTTACTATGCCTTCAAATAAGTCATGTCCAAGGCATGGTGGTAATCCTAAGCACACATGAAAATACTTGAGTTCGTTGAAGACAGAGCAGAATTTGACCCCCTGGATATGATTCAACTGTTTGGTACTATTTTGCAAGTCTTGCAAGGCCGAAAGGTAATTTTCTTTACTTCGTTTTGGACCAAGAGCAAATGGGTCGCTGAAAAACTCATTAGCATGAAGTAAACAATACCTGCAGAAGTACTTGCATACACTAAAGTTTTCAACAAATCCCCCAATGCAGCGAGACCCTAAATTATACCCTGCAATTATACAAACTGTACCTTTTATTTTATAGCAGGTTGGTTTTCAAAAATATGAATACCATTCGTTTCTAGATCCTTCAAGTTTTTAACCAAGGCCTGAAGTATTTTATCTTTTACAAAATATTTAAAATCATTTTTATTACAAAGGAGTACCAGAAGTGTGGCCTAAATAAAGTTAGCCAAGGTCATGTACACCGCTCACACTTAATGTTTTTCTTGCTCGATCCAATGGGACTACAAACTTCAAATGAATCTTGAAAAAGAATAAATTTCATAGCATCTGGGTTTTCTCCAAACAATGCATTGTCCTTGAACAGAAATCCATCTGTTATATCATGCAAAACATTTTCACATTCATAGCAATGGAAGATCGGGAATGTGGTGGATTCATACTCGATTTGCACAGCAGAATTTCTGAACAGGTGCTTCAAAGACTCCTTCACTGGGACAAAGTAAAAGGATCGTTCTTTCCAAGAGTCATTTCTACCAAGTTGTATTGCCAATGGCTCAACGTAACCACACAACTTTTCATAAGCTGATTTACGAACATAGAATGAAGTGGCCCATCAGCACATTTTAGAAACAGGTCAAAAGACGTGATCTCTTCAATCAATGTTTTAGCCACACCATTTTCAATACCATGATCATTTATCAATTTAGACAACAACTCTGTGTAAATGACTGTCCAAGAACATGTGCATCTTTCATTTCTTCTAAGATTCTTTGCATTGTTGATGATAGCAGAAGAATGTTGACTCAAGTTTCAAACAAAATAAAGTCAGATTGTGTACATACAAATCTTCAATTCCTGCCGACTCTTCAAGATTTGGCGTATCATCCTTTGTATCATAATAAATGTCATCTGCCATGTCAGCGGGTTCAATCGTTGAACATGTGGGCATATCCCCGTCATCTTCATTGCGATCTTCATCATGTTCATCTAACGTGACTGGCTCATTTTGAACACATTCGGGCATTGTATCTGTAACACTACTACTAGGTTTTGAACTTGGACCTGTGGTTTCTTGACAAATGTGAAGGAAAAGATGACTTCGTAGAAAAGTGTTTATTACAATTACTGTAAGGGCAGACAATGGCAGTTCCTGACTCAGTGTGCTCTTTCAAATGTTTCAACAGCATTTTTACACTGTTAAATTCCTTTTAACAGAAAGTAATCAACACTGTAGGTGCATTTCATCAACATTAGATCTGCGTGCATTTCGTTTTTCCTCACCACATTCATCATGATCCCTGAAAAAATGGCTCCTAAAACCATTATACGAAGACATTTTACGCTGACAATCACGGAGAGGGCATGGAAAAATGATGTTGCTTTGATTACTGGGCAATCGTACGTGGTTAACATAGCCTCGCAATAAGTGCAAATGCTGTTTGCAATTAAAACAGGAGATGTTCATGTTTCCTTTCTCTCTTGAATTTTAAGTTTAAAGTTCCCCAGCATGATGTTACCACAGCAGTGTCAATATTACATTGATATAAAGCAGGATGGACGTGATTTCAATAGATTTTTCTCACCTCTGATTCTCTAGAGCACATGCACTCAATGACCGCCACATGGAAAACAATATACGCGCTAATTCCGTTAAACTCGCTGCTGCGCTTGCGTCGTTGCTTAGTTCCACCTTTTACTGTCGGAAGACCATATACTGAAAGGTTTATGGTATTTTGTAGTGACTATGGACTACAATTATATAACTTTACGCTTTTACGGTCAAACAACCGTACATTTTACAGTATTTTTTAACAGTGTATTTAATTATCTACAAGTCTGTGACTAAGTCATAAAAACTCAATTATGCTCAATTAGTCAACCAAGTGACTCTGGAATCATTACATCAATCATAAAAAAGAAAGGTTCCATCAGATATCCACTTTAAATGATTAAAACAGCAAGATTAAGTGGTCCACCATCTGGTGATGACTCTGCAGCCCCCTGAATCTGGCGTCTAACAAAATCGCAGTAGATCAGCCGAAAGCTCGGTCAAGCAAAGCAAGTTCAGAGTCTATGCCCCTTAGCGGTACACAAGGGACTCTTCTAAGTCTTTGGTAGAGTACGTGGGACCAGTCTCAACATAAGGCCATCTACAATTAATATAAATCCAAAACCTTAACAGAAATAGCGAAATCATGCTCCAATTTGTTTCCTTTCCTCCATCTCCACAATTGCAAAAATTCCACAGATCTTATATCATTATCCTTATTTTCATAAATGTAAATTTCCGATCTTCTCGAAAATCATCAGCCTCGATCTTACTACTACAATTACGACGAAACTTCATCATCTGCAGGCTTTTATTTCGATGTATAAAAGCAAGAAATCATCAATATTACAGCACTTTCGGTAATTTGCTGAACAACTGTCTTGGGAGGTGAACTGTTGCCATGAAGTCGTTAATGCCGACCAGGACGTCTATGTGGCTGGAATTAGGCCATAGTTTACCTAATTCTCACGGAAACAGATTTTCCGTCCTTTTCCAAAGTGGTCAAACAGATCCACAAATCTAAATCTGCTGGCTCAGATTTCTGATGCTAGGGAGTCAAAACCTGTCTTGCATCACACAGTAACTCTCCAAACCTCTGTCTTAAGTTTCTCAAGCAAGTCAAAATTACTTCTGACTATCTCACTCTCACACAAGAAAACTCCAACATGCATCTAAAGATTCTAAATGTGTCTGATTGTACAATGCGACCTATTCTTCATCGACAGGCGTGATTTAATTTACAATAATACAATGGGCGTTCTGACAATTACCGCGGCCTGAACAAAATACCGTTGCGTAAGACAACAAGTCGTTTTCCCACTTTGCGAACGCCTTCTCTGAACAGCAGTGTTACGTCTACGCGGGGATGACGAAAAAAAGATTGACTGACACTTTTGGACGATTCCATTACCTTCGGGGTAGATTGATATATACTCAGAATAAAAACAATGAACGGAACACAGTACAAACAAGATTCAATTCATGCACTGTTTGCACTGTAACCCTGACGTCGAAGTGTATACTTTTCAAAGTTTTAAACCAACAACAGTTACTTATGCAACAATTAGTATTTGGAATAAGTTACTGAATCACGAACAAAATGAGCAGGGGTGAGATTGGCCAATGATAAAATAGGTGAAAATAGCTGACAAAAGCATCAAGAAGCTGAACGGTGAAAATCTCTTATACCTTTGTATACAGCAAGTGAGGAAAAAACTAAAATCCAAAACAAAAACGCTGAAATCAGCTAAAATCTGAGACATCTCACCCCTGAGTGACGGACATTGCAAGGAATAGTTTGTCATTCATAAAGGTTAAATAGGTAACAATTAAGGTTGGCCGCAGCTTTCTGACCCATGAAGATACTGTAACAATACTGTGCCACTGCAAGTTGGCAGAGCGCCCACTCTAAATGCAAACTAGGAGTTATGGCGTGCGTTCGCTCAGACATATGAGCGCGCAGCCCGCGATGTGGAGCAGCAGAAAGTGAAATGCACGACAGCGTCCGGGTAACCTCCACTTGTCGAGTGTTACAATTTTGGTGACCATCGACAAGAAACGAAAGTCACGGGCAATGGGGTGAACTCACACCTGTAAGTAACGTTTTATCTCGTTATTTCCTTAGAAATAAAAGAGATAGTTGGAAGCCTATCTTGTGCGTCAGTGAGGTGATTTTTTTTATAGAGTAAAGGCCCCGTCCTTAAGCTACGAAAATTCTAGTGCAGGCCATCACATTTCCAACGTCCAGAAGTCGATCCCCCAATCTGGTCAAAGACCGCTCGGTGGACGTTACAATACTCTTTACGTGAAATTTGACACAACTGGCCAAGATATGATATACCTCTTTGACACGATTGTAACCATTTCTTTCCCTAGGATTATACTTAACGACCGTTCACCTTTGCGCATGAAGGTGCTTTCCGGTTTGTCTCTTGGTGTGTAGAGCGTGTCGGGGTTCGTCATGGGATTCTCCTTCATGTTAGCGAAGGTGCAGTGCTCCGTGACAGCGTCCAGCGTTTCAGCCGGCAGGTCCTTGCCCAGGAATCGGCTGATTTTCTTCACGTTTCCACGCAGGTCCTGCATTCCCACATGGTACACGAGAGGGCCAAAGTATCATTTAGTGGAAATTAAGCAGATTGACGACGATTTAGATGGATCATCCCCGCCAGCATGACTGTCAACTTGTTAGAAACATGTCTGCTTAGCTTGGCATAATTTGCTGTGTTTAACTATATAATACCTTGGGAAAAAATGCTTCTTCATACCATTAAAATCGAAAAACTAAATTTGTAATACAGACAGCTACTGAATTCCTTTAAACAGAAATTTTGGTATGGAATTGTTTACTTATTCAGCCAACAATCGAAACAAGCGCATGGAGATAGGAATTACACACAGGACCAGGTTGTCACTATGAACACTTGGAAAAAAATGTAAGGGCCCACACAAATTATGGATGTAAGAAAATACCACGGTGTAAATTGAAAAACACAACCGTACAAACATGCACTTATTAAATTTTTAAACGTCTCTCTTAAAATCTGCATTAAGCGGAAAGCTTGGAACTAGTAGGAAGCTTACATAGCCTATACCACTGTTAATTTTAATCAACGAGACTTTTTTTTTAGCAAACTGCCATCCTTCTACGTGTGCCGGTACTACATTTACGAAACAGTCTCTTCATAATTTGTGGGGTAGTGGACTGAAAATACAGGGAAAAGGGAGGTCGGTAGAGCTGGTTGACGCTGTGTGTTGGATAGGGGAAAGGACTGTTATAGAAGACGTCAGTGATCCCAATCCTCTGGAGGGTACTGCTTATATTTTCTTTTCCCCTCTTTTAGTATATTTTGTGGTAGAAAAGATCAGTTTCAAAAGGTGATATCACATACTGCCCTAATTCTTTTGCAAAGAAATTTATTCATCAAGGTAAAAACGTTCACCCTCAACGCATTATCGATTTCAGCCTTACCTAGATATTAGCTTTGCACTCACATCACATTATTCAATAATATTTTACAGGTACGTTTCGAAAAGTGGCATTTTGCTTTAGATGCCTCGTTAATTAGGAGAGGAATATAGTTGGAACGGGTGCCAGAATGAGTATTGTGTAATCCAATTCTGTATATCCATGCGTCCATCAGTGTATTTGATGAATATAGGTACTATACTTACAATATGTATAAACTGACGTGTAACCGGTTAACATCCACCCAAAATTCGTATATGGAATACGTGGTTTGTTTCTCATGTATCCAGTTATGCGATGAGAATGTTGAAAAGCTTTTAAATAAAGGACTTGAACTGAACTGGCTCATTAAACAAATCAATTTCTCAGTCACCAGAGCAAATAAGTTAAAAAATTACATCAATCAGATTGGAGAATTAAATGTTAAGATATGACTTATTATGAGAACTCACTTTTTGCAAATCTTCAAACCGCAGCAAAAGGATGTTTGGCTCATCCCTCCTTTTCCAGAAAAATAAGTAGTGATCCCACCACGATCCATAGCTCGCTTTCAAACAACCATATACGAACAGGAAATATGACTAATTAGCAAGAAAATCCGTGAAGTTAACGGAATACTATACATTTGTTGCCTTCCCACTGTAATCTGATGGGTCACCACCGACAGCGGTATTTCGGTGTCCTCACCTTTTTAACCAATTAACCAGTGACAGAAAAAAGACAAAGGGTAACGAGGCCAACCAATCTAACGGTTAATCTACTACCCTATGGTGTCGCTACGTTACTGTGCGAGGTTCTTCTGCTCCATATTTTGGACTAGTAGAACAGGTTTGGTGAATTCTTTCACTTATTGTGTCGGTGTTATAAGAACCTACATTTTCCTTTGTACCTTTGGTAGAATTCCTGTACTCCAAATATTCCGCGAAGGATTGACCTGAGCCCTTCAAATTCAACATTCGCTCGAAGTGGTAGAAGGACACTATCATGTCCTTGGGGTTGCGGATTACGTAGACAATCTTAGACCTCTTTGTCCAGATTTGGGCAGGCAAGAGTTGGCCAGGAAGGTGAGACTTCAGAACCCTGGGAGATGGCATCTCGTCTGCTATTCTGTGTTTCAGGGGAATCTACGGAGAAAACAATTAGTCTTTTTAGAGTAAGGCAACGGAGAAGTAAGAATATGAGCCGGTTAGAGTAAAACCAAAACCTCAAAATACTGGAAACTCCATGTTGACTGGTGACTTAATCCACATGTCAGGTAGGCTATAGAGTCTCATTCGAATTGCAGAGGTTAATCAGTTTCGTGAAAGTGGGGCAGGGCAGGGGTTGCACTTGTCGCTGAGAGCCTGCTACCCCGCCACAACCCGCTGGTATTCCTGGTATTCCAGGGTGGACATTCTCCTGCCTTGGAGGTTATTAACCAACGAGACTTCTTCCCGATTTCAGAAAGCAAGGGCCAAATCAGAAATGGAAAGTGAGGAATGAACGACAACATTGAACGTGACACGCAATGACCTGGACCAAGTTATGCCGCACTGCAACCACTGCTTGGGACTGCAAAAGTTGTCTGAGCGATCTGGGGAAAATCATATATGAATTTGCTTTTGGAGCTGTTTGCCAAGGATTTGTAGTTGACGATTAATCTCTTGAATTCTTGCAGGAATTTGGACACAATAAGGGAAAAGCAAACGATTTATTTCAAAGATATAATAACGGGTCTTTGAATTTGTTACTTCAGTACTTTCATTTCTTTAGACTGTTCAATCCTACACAACTTTTGAGAATGTATCTTTAGTAATAATAGACATAAACGATCACGTTTATTAAGAACCTTCCAGTCAAATATAATCCAACGGTGTGAAGCACAAAATGCAAACAAGCGTATCACAAGTGTTAGCCAGAAAGTATACCTTAAACAAAAGGTATAACCCACAAGTGTAAACTACAAGTGTATTTCGCAATAATTGTAAGATAACTGTTCACCACGGTTGCAAACCACCAAGTTGAAACCAACAAGTGAAAACCATAAATGCAAACAAAAAATTGACAGGTGTAAACAGGTTTAAAGCCACACGAGAAAGCCAGCAATGTGACCCACAGGTGTTAACCACAGGTGCAAGCCACAAATGTAAAGCATGCATGCGTGTCGAAACCCACAAGTGCAACTCGCACTTTACAGATGTCTTCTTTCCAACATGAGAATGATCAACCCTTAATTACTGTTGACCGAAATTGAGTCATTGATATCCCTTTCAGTCTCAGAAGTTCTTTACTAACAAGCCTTTGTATCCCACAATTCCAGTGCCACTAGGTTACCGACGTTCCTCTTTGGCACACAGACCAAAATGCCAGCAAAGGGGATGTAAATAGTGCTTCCTCCCGTTTGACATTGTCTGGAGCGTTCTGATTGGACGAGATGGCTTGGATGTCTTGAAGGTAGAGCTAACAAACCGTATTTAAAGTCGTCCATTCCCTGATGGGAACGGACGGCCTATAATTGTAGGCCTTTCATTCCCTAACGCGAATGGACGGTCTGCAATTGCAGACTTTCATTCCCTGACAGGAATGGACGTTCTACAATTGTAGACCTTTCATTCACAGACGGGAATGGACTGCTTAAATTGAAGACCTTGCATCCCCTGACGATAACGGACGGTCTTCAATTTTAGGCCTTTCAGTTCCTGGTGGGAATGAACGTTCGACAATATATTTATAAACTGTAGTTCGTGAGTGCCGCCGTAATTACTGATTTATTTTGGAAATCGAACAAGTTGATTGTGGCTGTACGAATGTGTAGTGTTTCCAAGAAGTCTGAAGCAGATGTTTCCAAAATTGTAATATAGGTAGCAAATATAGTTAAGAATGCAGGTGGGAAGCTCTTTTCCTCTAGGAAATGTATTAAGATCGTAGTAACAAAGTGTTTCTGTGAAAAACATCATGCCGAAAGACCCTACTGTTGTCATTTAAAACGATATAAGACAGGAGGAGAAATAACATGCCAAGTATTACTCTGCCAATGATTTTAATAAGGTAATTTGTTTTGTTTTGAATTATGTGCACTGGAAACTTCCATATGGTTCATGTAACGAAAAATGGGGCAGAGCACATTCGTGAAAGTGTCGTTTTCTTTAATTCTTCTGTACTAATATCTGTATGTAGCCTCTTACAGTTAGGAAACATTATCGAAACGTGGCTGTACCTACACGTTCGGATATTCTGAAGACAAAACAACTGTTATGAACATGAAATCAAAGATTTACAATCAGAACTGTGTATTTTGTGTAATCTCACTATTTTAAATTTGGTTTCATCGTGTTAATATAATTAATACCCACTCCCCTCTAAAATACTCCTCCCCCTTTGGAAAATGCACCAGGCCAATGTCTGGGATGCTCGCCAGTGTGTCTGGAAGATTGTGGTTGGCGCCAGCACTGTAAACAGTTTTGACCTGGAGTCCTGGATAAGCCCTTGTCATTGATAGGGCCGAGCCTGGGTCTGGAGAGGCTGGCCACGTGACATTATTTACACTGTCTAGGCCCAGCTATTGTGCTATAAAGACCCAAGATGAGTGAGTCGAGGTGAGTCAAGCATGTATAGCGGGAATTTCAAGTGTAATTTTGGTATCGCCGATGTATTTCTGTATTGTTGAATATTATTTAATTCAGTGCCCTCACTGCACACCACGCCCCCCAAAAGGACACTCCCCCCAAAATCATACTGAGAAGTCTTCTTAGGAAAGTTTCCGTCCGATTTATGCTGAAAAAATGAAAAATACATTGAATAGGGATCGCCTTATCCAAAAATAAGTCAGTGTCAATTTTGGCACAAGGTGCTGCGTGGGCCGTTATATTTGACACGGTGCCTGCCGTCTCAGTGCAGAGTAACTTGTCATGGTTTCCCAGCAGACATTACTTTACCCTCAATTAACTGGCATATCGTAGGGAAAACAAAACACGCTTTCTTGGGCCGAATGCCACTTTGAGAGTGTGAATGTATATAACCGAACGTGTGGTGAGTTAAGATTTAGTTTACAGGCACTCTCTGTGTATAGGTCTTTCAGTCCAACCCAAATCAGGGAAGCCTCATCTATCCCCACTTCAATAAACAACTGAATAAAACCTACCTAATGCCTATTTTTTTCATGTACAGTGTTTTGATGTTTGGTGTAAACACTTTGTAAATATTGTTCTTATTAGTCCTAATATTATTCTTCAATATTGCAGGACTGGATGGCAAGCAAACTTCACTTACCAATAGCCACCCTATGTGAACTTCATGGAACCGACTGGGTGTACCCAGAATTTCAGTCATCCGTCACCCCTACAGATATTTCAACTCTTCCTCTGTGAAGCAGTTTGGCAATTGCTGGTGAGGGCGACCAACCCAATTTGCATATCAGACACTATCTGCAGAATCTGTGAACTCTCAGTGTACTTGGATTCCAACGGGTGCTCCTGAAATAATGGCTTTTGTCGCACTGCTGCTCTGGATGGGCATCACCAAAGGCCTAGCTACGAAATGTACTGGTCCAGGTGCAAAGTTCTTCGAAGTCCTTTGTATCGGTCGACAATGTTTTGCAACTGATTTAAGGCACTCCTTCGATTATTCCACCTTGCCGACAACACAGCACACGACTCTCCCCGTGACAAACTGTCTGAAGTTCGTCGGCTACTGGACATTGTTGTTACGTTGTTTCGTAGCATCTATAAGCCCGGACGAAACCCCTAACCGGATGAGACTGTGATAAATTCTTTTGGTCGACTTGGTTTTAAGCAGTACATAGCACGCAAGTCAGCCAAGTATGGCTTGAAATGTTTCTCTTCAAACGAGTCTCCAACCGGTTACACATGTGACTGCAAGGTGTTTACTGGATCCAAGACTCCGTCATGCCATCATTTGGCCCCCTGTTGCGTACGCTGAACCATCCACCCAACCTTACAGCATCAGGCCAAGTTGTCCAAGGACTGGAAAACAAGGGACATGTTGTTTTCATTGACAATTCGTACACTAACCCTGCTAGTTGTCCCAGCTAAGGTTTGGAGCTCGTTGAACTGTGCACTATACCACCCAAGATATGCCAGACAGTGCAAACCTTAAGAAGGTACCCATGAGCCGACATGATCTACCCCAGTTTCTCTAAAGCGGGTCGACTATGTGGTGTTTGGACAGACGCCATAAAACGTGTACCAGTTCTGACTAATTATGTCGAATGCAAATGTGACGGTAAAGACAACCGTTGCAAAAAGTTCCCCCGGACGTCGTACAATCTAAAGACCTACCGTCGTCAACGATAATAATAGGTACAGGGGCAAAAGTGACTTCACAAATTTAATGTTTCAGTACTACGAGCATCATCATGGCTCCCTGAAATGGTGGTAACGCTTTTTTGGGCAATTCTTGATGTCTATTTGGTTAATGCTACCATCGTGTACAACGGCATCCCTACAAAGCGTCTGCTCATTAGCTTGGATTTCCAGGTCCAGGTCATCGATGAACTGTTGTCCGCCTGCTGGACAAGCAACTCAACACCACGTGTCCTTGAAACTGTAGGCAAGGCCAAAAACGAGAGTGTGTTGTTTGTAGAACAAGAACCCAAGGTAAGCAGACTCGTATGGTTTGTAAGAATTGCCAGAAACTAATGTGTCTAATGCCATGCTTTGAAACATTTCACAATGTGCGTTACCCTGGGAAGAGGGAGCGACCTCTTTTGGCGAGTCCATTGGAGCTAATTAAAGTTTAATATTTTTTTTCGTCCAAATGCAACGACTACTTATCATATCCTACCCTTGTACATGCTGAAAAACCTAGTTTGTCACTTAACAGCCAGGGCCTCCCCTAGCCAGAAAAAAATTTAAAAAATCCAGCCGGCCGTCAGCCAGCCTCCAGCCAATTCCCATAGGACTGTGTGGTAAGTGGTCCTGTGTGTACAATTTAATGGGTTGTTTACAAAACGGTGCCTGGGGCAGGCAGTGGAATGTTTCTTATCAGTTACAGCTGTCTGGAACTTGTCAGAGGCCTCTTTCGGCTGTCTTTGAAGTGTTATTTTTGCTGGAGGGTGTTGTGGTGGTGGTATGGCTTGGCTGGCGCGTGGCGAGGCCCCCTCTCAAATCGGGATAGCCTGGGAAAACGGCCCCCACGGTACTGTGATGTACTTTTGGTGGTTTGTGAGATCTGTAGAGGCTAGGGGACAACCACTGAAGCATTAATATACCTTTAGGACAGACTCAGGGCTCTGCAACCCTGAAAAATGAAACGGACTCAACGGAATAGTCCGCTCCAGCCACCGTGTAAGAAAAAAATGCATGCTGCCTCGCAGGGCTCGTAGACTCAGGTAGTTTAGATTGCACCTCCCACCCTCAACAGCCCCCATCCCCCATTTGAAAGTTGCATTGGATCTCCATGGGCGGGTACCAGCCCTTAACGCAACATTGGAAGGGGGGACACGATGGGTAGGGAGGGTGGGAGTCAAAGGCCTTCATGAAATCTGTGAGGAAACTCGTGCCATAAATGTGGTGCCATCTCCAATCAGTCTTGTTGTAGACAAGAACAAATGCAGCACACCACTGAATAAAAGAAATTTATTCTTGTGATTTAATCAATGGTTTTTCATGATTTGGAGAGAGTTCCATGTACGAAGTTCACTCATTTTCCTCTTCAGTTATCAATTAGTTCCCAGAAATCAGTTCAGGAAATTTCATTTTAACAGCAAGAAAGTACAAGCCTTTTTAATGAAAACACGTTTTTTCAGACCAGTCTCAGAATGTTTGTACACTGGGTGTAAAATGAACTTTGTGCCTGGAACACTTTCCCCTTATTTTTACCAAAACAACTTCAGTAAATTCTCCTTATTGGATATCATTACTATAAATCAGTCAATGGGGTGTCATTGCAAGAGCGGCCTTTCATGATCTCGATTGTTGAGGGCGCTATACACTAAAAGCTGCGGTGCCTGGTAAACAAAGGGTAAAACAAACTTGCATGTAAAATAGTGTAGTAAGAAATCCATGAATGACCAACATGGTCTTGGGGCTGATAGGGGTATTATGATCACACTTTACACTGGCCCAGCTCTGTTAGCCTATGGGCAAAACTATGGTGTCCGATGACTTGCCATCCAGTCTACGTAGTACCACTGATCTCTATTGCCATGTAACCCGTTTAATATCGTGGAGAGTCCTTATGCCAATAATTAATCACACTCTATCCCCATGCTACACTCCGAACACTCAAAAACTGTGGAGTTTTTCGAAGGAAGAGAAATGAATCGTGAGAAGTCGCCTTTCTCACATTTTGT